ATTAAGGTCTCGACCTGATCCAAACCGCGACGGTTGGGGCCATTTGAGGGGATAATCTCGCTAAATTTGGTTCAAGACTTGTTCTATAGGGGAATTGAGGGGTGTGTATCTTTCGAACCGGCCGGGCGGTCGGGTTGACGCCGACTGGTCGGCTCGGGGGGGTCGGGCGGTATACTGAGGTGTTTGGTGAGTGTACTAGCTGTTTCTGGTTTCTAAGTCCTTTCTCTTCTCTCTAGGGGTTGGGTTTTTGGCTATAGGATCTTGTCGGGTGGCTAGGGAATTTTCGGCGTTCATGTATTTTTGGGCTTTGGAGAGTAGGGTTGCCATGAAGGTCGGGTGGTTTTTAGAGAGGGAGAAAAGGAAATCAGATGACTGTAGGCTGGCTATAAAAGCCGTAAGGATGACCTTGTCATCGTTTTCCACTACTTGCAAGGCTTCGGTGTTGAAGCGGGTAACGAAACTACGTAGCGACTCCCTCTCGGTCTGACGGATATTGAGGAGTTGGGTTGCCGGACGTTGCTGGCGCTGGGCTCCAATGAAATGGCTGAGGAATGAGTCACTGAGGTGTTAGAAAGTGGAGACTGAGTCTGCTGGCAGTTGACAAAACCAAAGTTGAGCCGACGCCTTGAGTGTTACGGGGAAAGCCCGACACATGATTTCATCGGGGAATGCATGGAGGATCATGAGGGTCCGGTAGGTCTCCAAGTGATCGACTGGGTCTGTTGTACAGTCAAAAAAGAGTCAATGGTGGGTATTTTGAATTTAGGCGGTAGAGGTTTGTCCCGGATGGAGGCAACGAATGGTAAGTTGGCTGTGGTGGATGGTTTATTCGATATGTTCTGCATGACTCCTTGGTGCTGGAGCTTTATGGCTCGTAGTTCTGCATCCCAGAAAAGGACGTTGTCACCACCGGAAGGAAACGAGGGCTGGACGTTATTGGTCTTTCCCTCGAGGGTGGGTGCCTGGACCGATGGATGTGGAGCCCAGGGTAGTAGGTTCATATCTGGGGGAGGTGGTCGTAAGCCTTTCAAGTTGGGCGGATAGGGCTGTTGGATAGTGTGGCTCGGGGTTCGTTCTTGGTTGGGTGGGATATCTGGAGGTGGTGGAGGGGGCATAGGAGGGTTTCTTTGGAGTAGAGCATTAATCAGGGCTTGGTTTTGCTCTGCCAGGTGGTTAATACTGTTGGTAAGCTCAATGAAATACTGTAGTGGGTTATTTGGATTGGGAGGGTCGGCTTGGTGGTCGGCAACATTGTGGTGAGAAGCCATGGATCTAGTCGTGACCATACACCTTGGTGGGTGGCAGGAAAGGGTTATTGGGGCAGGGTCTCTGACGACAATGAACACAACTGGCGCGCGGAGCAAAGCTTTCCCACAGACGACGCCAACTGATGATACTGCGGGTTTCAGATGGAACAGGTCGGACTGATCCACGCTTCCCAAACCGGTGTCCGAGTGACCAAGCACACAGAGGAACCTGCACAAGAGTTCAACGGGGAACGGGGAGTCCCCCAGCGAATCCTCCGACGAGCAAGTTAGAAAAAGAGGTGGAATGTAGAGATAGATTAGAGATAGAAAGCTTAACCTTCTTCTTGTCTTCGACGTTTGTTTATATCCTCTGATAATCATTTCGTTGTCTCTTCCGACCTGTCGCCATGACCGGAAGTCTATGCTCTACCTTGCCTTGTTCATGGTGAGGCCGTTCTGTCTCGACGGAGAGGGCTTATCGCAATAAATGCTGCAAGGGGCTTCATTAATGGCTGATGTGCAGTGCAATAACTTTGCAGAATCTTTGTTTGCTTATGTGGCTTGTCCTTCACCTGCCATGTGTCTGAGTGTCATTGGTTCTTAATGCCATGTTGACTTCCAGCCATGATGGGCCTCATGAGTTGAATTATGTATTGGGCCCTAAATGGTGGGCTTGGGTTGTTCATAGTGGGCTATAACCTTTATGGGCCTATCCATGTTATTGTATATATGAAAAATAGTATGTAAATTAGTGTTATATATTATGTAAATGTTTGATATTTGTTTAACAATATTATTCAATTAACTAGCAAATTAAAACCACGCCAAACCATCCAAACCGTGGTTTGATTATTTACCAATCTGCCATTCACAGTTTGGTTTCTAATTTTACCTTTAAACCACCAGAATCACACCATGCGCACCTCTAAGTTTAATGGCTCAATTATGGTTTTAATTTTTCTACAATAACTGATTCAATTTATAATTTAATCTAAAATCAGACCAATATAATTGTTGTACACTCTTAATTTTCGCATGAAGAATTAAGTAACGACTCTTTATCTCCATCACTTCCAAAACCTTTCTTGCTTTCACGTGAAGCTTAGAAGGAAGGAAAATGTGTTGACCTATTTTCAATTAATTAAAAATTTTAATTTCCATAATAGTTAAAAAAAAACTATTAATAATTTATTAGTCGTTTGTATGAAAAAATAATATATATTTTTTGAATTGATGAAAAAATAATATTATTATCTATTTTCAATTTAAATATATTTTTATTTTGCTTATTTTTATTTCCACTCATCATCTGTATTAGTTTTAGTCATTTCAGCTATAGTAAAAAGGAAATCAGTGTAATTATACAAAAAATCTAGGATTAATTGATTTTTTTTTCAAATTTCAAGAGAGTGAGTGTAATTTATCCGAAAAATTATGAATATTTTTAATATATGCTACACTACATTATTGTAGTAAATGTTACTAATAACAAATTTGTATAGTGTGTACCCTTCAAGTCAAAGTTACCCTTCAAGTCAAAGTTACGAATCGTTATGATTATATATGATGAATGATGTAAAGTAAATATTATGAAATATTTGTAAAAATTATGAAAAAGAAAACTACAATCATTTATGATGTTTGTTATGACAAGTTGGGTTTATTTTTATATTATACTAACGGTTAACACATTTATTATGTGTATAATTTAAATAAGTTAATTAAAATAAAATATTTACTATATATTATGTTTCACTTAAGTGATAAGAATTTTATTTATTATGTGTACAATTTAAATAAGTTAATTAAAATAAAATATTTATTATATATTATGTTTCACTTTGAGAACAGGCTAATTTAGTAACTTTTTGGCTATTTGGCTAAAAAAATAGGTAAAAAAAACTTGTATGTTTGGGATGACTTTTTGACTAATTACGAAAAGATGTGCAAAAAGTAGAGAGAAAAGAGAATCTTTGACTTTTTGGTATGGATTGTTGACTTTTTGGCTAATTTAGTAACTTTTTGGCTAATTGACTAAAATAGCCTCTTGCCAAACGAGGCCTTAAGTGATAAGAATTTTATTTCTTAGACCTAGAGTCAAGGTTTGAGACTCAATTTCACTTATCTATTTTTTTTAATTTTATTTATAGATATGGGGATACAATATTTTAAGGCCTAGTTTGGGAAGACTAAATAAGTGCACTTTTTGATTTTTTTTGTATTATGTGTAGAAAAAGTAGAGAGGAGATGTTGATTGATGTGACCCAAAAAAGATAAAAAGATGAAATAAGTGCACTTTTTTCTTTGTACCCAAACTTGACCTAAGTGTTCATACTGTAACAATTCTCATTAACTTCGTTTAAATTTTCATGGAAAATAATTCCGTAAAAGGCGGAGTTCTCATTTTTTTCTTTTCTCTTTCTCTTTCTCTTTCTCTTTTTCTTTCTTTTTCTTTTTCTTTTTCTTCTTTTTCTTTATTTATTTATTTTTTTTGCAGGTGAACAACTTGTCAAGTCTAGGTTTCAAGTCTAGGTTTGAATTGAAATAGATAGAAACAAACTGAGTTGGCCATTATTATTTTGGTCAATGTATATGTGTGGTTAGGTATGTTTCCACTCTCATGAAAGATCTATTCATGATACAACAATTCTAAGGATAAATTATGCTTCCTCGTACTTTTTATAAAATTTTATTTTAGGTCTTGTAATTTTAAGTATATATTTTTAATTACATTTTAATATGGTTTTTTTTGTTAGTTGCAATTAGCATTTTGAAGAGAGAAAAAAAAGTGACAGGTGTGAAATTAAAAGGAAAAAAATGAAATTTAAAAGAATTTACAAGGATCGTCAGTGTAATTTATCCATTTTTCTTTTTGTGTGGGAATTGTTAAAATTTGCCCACGAGTCACACGTAGTATTCTTTTCAAAATGGTAACAATAATTGGAAGTGAGAATAAATTTAAATTAATGAAATTAAAATTATATAAATCAAAATAAAATTTCACATAAACTAAAAAGGCCAACACCATAATTAATCACATTTTTAATACAGGCAGTACTACTAGATGGAAACAATTGTCTCATTGCTTCCTGTCATCTTTAATTACAATTCCATGAATCGTAATTTTTTATGCTTGTTATATATGAATACTTGTGTCTCTAAACTGGTGAGACAATTCTAAGTGAAATATTTCTTTATAAAAAAGAACCAAATATTACAACTTAGAGCATCTCTAACGCTTCATTAAATTTGAGAAAAAGTTTAATCTAATATGATATGCTCCAATTATTTCATCAAATTTGGCTGGTCGTCTAACCTAGAATAAATTTTCATCAAATCTTCTCGAATCAGGTCGTCCACCGAGTTGACTGGCCGGTCATCTATCCGGTTGTCCATTAACGGTCACCTGCAAAATTTGATAAAAGGTTAAACGTTCATCAAATAAAGGAAACGTTTAACATTTTATCAAATTCCGCAGGTGACCGTTGATGGACGAGTAGATTAAAGATCGGCAGAATAACTGGGTAGACGACCAGATTGGAGAAGATTTGATGAAATTTTACTCTAAATCGGATGACCGGCGGGACAATCGACCATATTTGATAAAACAATTGGAGCGCATTTCAAAATAAGAAAATAATGAATGACAACAACAATTATACAATGACGGAATCTACGGAACCTAAGTCCGGATACAATAATCAAATGGGAAAAGACCGGGGTCGCTATAACTCACACACAACTCCCTCTCTCACACCAAGTGAGCACCTTCTCCCACACTGAGGGCCAATTTCTCTTCACTCTCTCATTTTGCTCTCTTGGTTCCTCACATTTTGTTTTATTCCAACTCTCTTTCCATTTATACACAAACGGGAGAGCATAAAGTCAATCTTATCTACCGGCAAGCTGTCGAAGAGCCACCGACAACATTGATGGCAGCCACCAACACAACCACCCTATAATAAGATAGCTTAGCTGAAAATTTCTAGCCCAAATTTGTAGCCTTCATTCTTGACTTCTAAGGCTTCCTTCACATGGTCCCAACTCCTCACATGAAGTAGAAACCCAACACTCCCAAGTCTCAACATACTAAGTTGTAAGAATGAAAATAAATGTACTAACCCTTTTTTTCTTAAGAAATCAGTTTTTGCTCGGTCATTGGATTGCCCGGAGACAACCATATCCATCTGATTGAACTTGACAACTCATTGGAGGAGGGTGCAAAAAGACATGATTAATGGTACATGAGCCAACTGTTTGCGTACTGTCATCATTTTTATTTTTTTTAAAGAGAAAATAATTTTTAAAATTTTAAAATATATTTAATATTTTTTTTTCAAATTAATTTTTATTTTTCTAGAAAAATGTAAAAAAAAAATCTTGCTATTTTGGGTTCATTTTTAAGTTATGTAAAATTCAAACTGGAAGAGACTGAACCGATCCAGTTTAATAACTCTTTCTATCCTGGCCGTCGATACATATTACCGGGAGCTAATCTTAGCCATCCATGTGTCAGTCATCACATCACATTGCGCATCTCTTTTGCTACCTGATAGAAAAACCCATAATTTTTTAATCTCTAATTTCTTGAAAAATCACCGTGTTTGGTGTTGATTGATTTTATGAAAATTGTGATTTTTAATTTTTCATATTTTTTGTTTTTAGTAAATGTTTTTAATATTTTAAACAAATTTTTTATAGCACCTAAAATAAATATACTTAAAAAGTATAATATTGTGAAACAAAATCTTTAAAAAATCCACTAAATACCAAAAATATAAAAAAATATATATAAATTCAATATATTTTCGTGTATTTATTGATTTTTTAAAATATTTTATCACAAATATTTTATTTATTTTATTTTTAGATAAGCATATCTAAAAAGTAAAAAAAATACTTAAAATATTAAAAAATCCACTAAAAATAAAAAATAAAAAAGAAAAAAAATTCAATTTTCAGACAACAAAAATTTTTCCCTAAAATTTACCCAGACTTGTCCACGAGCAGACTTGTCCACATGAGCATATATATTAAGCAAAAAACAGTGCATCATTGTTTCTAGATGTTTTTTTTTATTATTTTAGATAGAATTGTTTCTAGATGTTGTTCATGTTTTGTTTTGATACAACTGTTTAGATATTTGTTTTGTTTTTTGATAAGGTTGTATTGTAGCAATAATTTTCATTGTCTATTGAAAAAAACAACCAGACCAAATCAATCAGTTAGGAGGGAATAATGAAGATCGAAACCTTCCATCAGGTGGGAAAGAAGTAGCACTTGGACTGAACTGATTTCGCCCTTAAATTCTCTTTTAATATTTAATTTGCTGTTTTTGGTTAATTTTTTTGTTTAGAATGGGACTTTTCTTGTTTTTTTCTTTTTCTTTTTTTCATTTCAAGCCGAAGCACATGTGGCTCATAATTATAAAAATGCCATTGCCACGTGATTCTGGATGGACTTTATTTATAAAAATTATGTTTTACAAATTATTTTCCTTTTAAAATTAGCTTGTTCACAAATTAGATAATAAAAATAAATAAATAAAAAAGTGGCAGATAAGTTTTCTTTAGCAGTTGCAGTTTACCATGTACGGAAGTAGATGAACAACAATCTTTAATTAGAAGAGGAAAAGAAAATAAATAATTCTTAATCTAATTGAAGAAGTTAGATTTGGAATCATCTCTTGGAGACAAGTTCAGAATAATCATGTATTCCTGTTGTCTTCCCAAATAACAGAAATATATAATTTCAATTTGAAGACAGTGGTGGGAACACACAGATGATTGCATATAGCGAGGGGCAGTATCGGATTTTTGGTGAGACTATAGATATTGCTGTTGGGAATTCCTTGGACCGGTTTGTGAGGGTTCTAACACTGTCTAATGATCCAAACCCTGGGTACAACATTGAGCAGGTATGCAATTGGAAGCAAGTTTCCTTAACCTATGTAACGCCCTTAAAAATAAACCCATTAATTATCTATATCATCAGCATGCATTGATAGAGAGGAAACATTTCATTATAATATTCATCAGAGTCTTACTAAATAAAAGCATTACATGTAACCTCAAATTAAATGCCCTACAGGCTTACATCCTTCCAAGCCAACACTTGGACAACAAAAGTATGAGTTCTAACTCAAATCCAAATAAAGCCCTAGGCTTGAGTGTTTACATGTACTACCAATAAAAACAAACAACTGAAAATAGTCTTCAAAATCCAAGTCCCTTCCAAGCTAAGTCCTTAGAGGTAGCTTATCACCTGAACCTGAAAATGATGTTCCCATATAGGGTGAGCCACAGCCCAGTAGAAATATACTAAACCAAATATAAGCATTGATTAAAGCAATAGCATTCAATAGATGGTTAACCAAGATAATCAATTACATCATTATACAGTTTCATGACATTAATGTCTAAGACACGTTTTACTTTCCAACATTATCAATATGACTCAGAACCTGGCCAAACTTACAACAGTGAACTATATATATCAAATTCACATTCTTCCAATGTCAACAAACAAATGAGGCCCAAGCTCAAATCAAAACACTTCATACTTCCAGTTTGATACACATTTTAGTGCTGTATCAATAAAAACACTTCAATATAAATAAGCACACATAAAAGTGATGCTAATGGAGTCCATCCCCTATCTCCTCCCAAACAAAATCCGGTTTAGAGGTCCATCCCCTATCTTCCCCTAAACCGTGGAGTACATCCCCCATCTCCTCCCACACACAAAACAATGTATGCAAATGCAATGCTCAATCAACACACGTATTTTCTGTATCAATGCCACAGTCAAAATTAATGACTTAACCAATGTGATTAGTTTCAGTTATTCCTAATCCACATGCAATGTCTACAACAATCACGACTATCCTCCACCGATAGCCCAAAACAGTTATTTCTAAACCTCGAGCGAATACATGGTCGCTCGAGCGACCAGACACAAGAAAACCTCGCTCGAGCGAAGAAAAGCTCGCTCGAGCCAAGAATGCAATACTACAGGTCTTATACTAGATGCAAACTCTCGCTCGAGCGACCAAACCCCGGCTCGAGCGAAGAACCAAAAACAACATCTCGCTCGAGCGACCAACTCCTCGCTCGAGCGAAGATCCAAAATTCTGGACAGCAATACTTGGTTTCTAAACCCAACCAACCTGAAACAAACCTGCCCAACACATCCTAACTCCAAATGAGAAAATAAGGGACAACAACAACAATTATACAATGACAGAATCTACGGAACCTAAGTCCGGATACTATAATCAAATAGGAAAAGACCCGGGTCGCTATAACCTATATCAGTGGTTAATTCACACAGAGACTATCCATTAATAGTCATATCTTTTATAGGTCATTGTGTTGACATGTCTTCAAACTTGAGGAAGACAAAAAAAGAAAAAAAAAATTGAGCTGCTATTTGGCGTTTTGCTTGTTTAACTATATAAGTTTGCATATTTTTTTTTATTGATTTGTTCTCTGTCGATTGTTTGAGAAAACTTTATTTCTTACTATGATTCAGTTTTGCGTTGTACTTGAGGTCAATACTTGTCTAGCCCACACTGTACTGGAATAATTTGTGGTTATGGCTTGCCAGTTTCTGATCTTCCAATGTTGTATAGCTCGATTTTGGTATCCTCTCCCCCCCTGTCTTCTCAAAAGACAAAAGACATACAAAGACAACTGCAAATGAGGCTTTGAGACTCCTTGATAATTTTCTTAATCTTTAAAGAAGATGTTTTATTATGTACCTTTATATGAACTTTGATGAAGGTAGGAATTTGGTCGTTGTTAGGCCATTGTAGTCAGCTATATAACACAATTGTCTTCATTTGTAAGAGAAAATGATTAAACAAGCAGTTAGTAGTCTTTACTTCTTTTTCTTTCCTTCTTGCTTAACCAAACATATAAAGGGTGAGGCGATTTTTCCTATACTTCCCTTTTTTTTCTTTCCTCCGTACACAATCCTTCCTCTCTGTTTTCTTCTAAAAGAATAAGTGGAAGGCCAAAATGAACATCAGTTGGGCCTATGATAAAGAAATAGTTGCCAAGGATTTATGAGAGGATATGCCTTTAGATGGAGATGATTGAAGGCTAAAGATGAAATCTACCTTAAAGGGTTTCAATGCTGGCTTTGTTGAGTTGAGTTGAGTTTTCTTATTGAATTATTATATACAATCCAACTTTTGTGCTTCTTGTTCTATTTTGAGTGTTGTCAGTGAGCAATAGATATTGGTAAATTTAGTGCAAGGTTCAAGTTAGGTACTTGTATTTTAAGTTCTTGTTCAACAAAGCTAATAGATGCTCTATATGTGGTTTTTAACCTCGTCGAATTTACCTTTCACCAATATATTTAGTCTTACCTTTATCTTATTTGATTAGTTCTTATTATTTTTAAAGAAATATGTTTAACTACATTTTTTTATTATATCTTGATATCTTTGTTTTTGTTATTCTATATTTTAACACAGCTTTGGATTGATAATACATGATTGATGTGTAAGTTTATATTTTTTGAGGTTAAGTTTAGATTATGTCTATAAGATTTGTAGCACATTTCATCACCTCTCATTTATAAAGGTTCTCTCTGGAACTTTATTTTAGTATTTTATATTTATTTTTCGTTCTGGAGATATTCTTAAAATTTCTAAGATAGCCTTCAGAATGTTCTTGAAATTATGCGATGAAGAAATGCTTTTTGCTTGACTTATCTTTTTTTTTCCTCTCTTCATCAGCTTGCCAAGAAAGGAGAAAAGTTTATAGACCTTCCCTATGTTGTCAAAGGAATGGACGTTTCGTTTAGTGGAATATTGAGTTACCTTGAAGCCAATGCTGAGGAAAAGTTAATAAATAATGAATGAACCCCTGCAGATTTATGCCATTCTCTTTAGGTAATCATTTGGAATGCTTTCAACTTTTAATAATACATATTTCGTGGTGATAAAAAGTTTAGTTGGTAATTTGACATAGCTATTTTTTTTTGTAAATCGCAAGTTTTAGGTGAATATTTAGTTTACATGATCTAATTGTGGGCTCAATTTCTGCATACAATTTAAATTGTTTTAGGAAGCTGTGTTTCCAATGCTCGTGAAGATTACAGAATGAGTAATGGCACACTGTGACAAGAAAGATGTTCTCACTGTTGGTGGTGTTGGCTGCAATGAACACTTGCAAGAGATGATGAGAATCATGTGCTCGAAGAGGGGTGGAAAGTTGTTTGCTACCAATGACAGGTACTGTGTTGAAAATGGGGCTACGATTGTGTATACTGGTCTCCTAGCTTATGCTAATGAGACGTCAACTCCGCTGGAGGAATCAACATTCATACGATAGTTCAGAACTAATGAAGTACTAGCCATCTGGAGAGAGAAAAAGGAATCATCAAATGGTCTCATGGAAAAACATGTCTAATTACCTATGTGTTTCGAGGTATTTTTTTCCAGTAAGATCATGGATTAGTTGCTTCCTAATTTTATAGAAGGTTTGAAGTCCTTCAAGAAATGATAAAATCGGCAAGCTGTGGACCATCCACGGCTAATAATTTGGTTTCTCTACCTATCTGCATGGAAGTCCAACTGTGTATTGAAAATCAAGTGTGGATCAAGATTTTTTCTCTTTTAATTTTACTTTGTGGAGCTAGCAAGCTTTGTATTTATTTGGCAGGCCAAGCTGCCGCCCATGAAATTTGGAGAGCGTCTATTTCCACACACTACTTCATCTTGGTGCACACATTTTTCTTTTATGAATCGGATATCCACTCCCGAACAAAATATCATGGTTTAAAAATCAACTTCCTAACGAAATCTTATGGTTTGGCTATATATCTTTGGTTCGGAATTTGATTTCTGAACCATAGGTTTGGATTCGAAAGTTGATTTCTAAAGTACATAGTTTTGTTTGGAAGTTCATTTCGGAATGAAAAATGGTGTGTGAACTGAGAGAAAGTGTTGTGTGGAAATAGAAGCTCCCGGAATCAGCTTCTTGCATTGTTTATCAGGTTGTAAGTGTACAATGCTTGTAGAAGCATGAATTTGGAACTAGGCAGGAGCAGGATTGAGACTTCACCTTCTGAAGTGCTTGGGTTTTCATGTTAGAAAGTTGGGGAGTTATAGGAGGGTCTCAAACCATAAATAGTTATATACAAGAGTGTTATTTTGTAAAGAAATATATTTCTGTATAGCGACCCCGGTCTTTTCCCATTTGATTATAGTATCCGGACTTAGGTTCCGTTTATTCTGTCATTGAATAATTGTTGTTGTCGTCCTCTATTTTCTCATTTGGAGTTATAGGATGTGTTGGGCAGGTTTGTTTCAGGTTGGTTGGGTACGTAAACCAAGTGTTGCTGTCCAGTTTTTGGGTTGGTCGCTCGAGCCAGGGCTTGGTCGCTCGAGCGAGGGTTGTATTTTGTGTCTTCTGGCTCGATCCAGATTTGCTTCGCTCGAGCGAGCGATTGCGTCTGGTATAGACCTGAGGGCAGTGCATATTCGCTCGAGCGAGATTTTCTTCGCTTGAGCGAGAGAGGTGTATGTTTTCTAGTTCCTTGCTCGAGCGAGCATTCTGTCGCTCAAGCGTGCTCCAGCGTTGCAGACCTGAAGCATTGCATTCTTGGCTCGAGCGAGCTTTTCTTCGCTCGAGCGAGGTTTTCTTGTGTCTTGTCGCTCGAGCGACCATGTCTTCGCTCGAGCGAGCCTGTCCAGTTTATATACGTAGCAGCGGGTTTTGATCAGTCTTTTTCATCTTCTTTTGATTCCAAACCCTAGGTCCGACTTCTCTCTCTCCCTACTCACCTTCTCTCTTAGGTTTGATCTATTTAGAGTGTGTTTCTACCCTAGTTGCTTTATTAAAAAGATAGAGGGAGTCGAGGGCTTTCATTTAATCTGAACATTTGGCGATTTGGAGCACATTGGTATTTGGGCACTCATCTCTGTCTTCACCATTTGGGTTGTTTTCTTCGAGGTAGGGATTTCCTACTCCATTTTATAAGTTTTGTTCATTCAAGAAACCACTAATAATTTAAATCACTCGCCTATTGAATTATTGATATATTTATTTCCAAATCTAGAAATAACTGTTTTGGGCTATCGGTGGAGGATAGTCGTGATTGTTGTAGACATTGCATGTGGATTAGGGATAACTGAAACTAATCACATTGTTTGAGTCATTCATTTTGACTGCTGAATTAATACAGACATTATGTGTATTGATTGTGTGGTGTATATGTTATGTGTTTACATACTTTGTTTTGTGTGGGAGGAGATAGGGGATGTACTCCACGGTTTAGGGGAAGATATGGGATGGACCTCTAAACCGGATTTTGTTTTGGAGGAGATAGGGGATGGACTCCATTAGCATCACTTTTATGTGTGCTTATTTATATTGAAGTGTTTTTATTGATACAGCACTAAAATGTGTATCAATCTGGAAGTATGAAGTGTTTTGATTTGAGCTTGAGTCTCATTTGTTTGTTGACATTGGAAGAATGTGAATATGATATATATGATTCACTGTTGTAAGTTTGGCCAGGTTCTGAGCCATATTGATAATGTTGGAAAGTGGAACGTGTCATTGACAATAGTGTCATGAGACTGGATAATGTTGTAATTGATTATCTTGGTTAACCATCTATTGAATGCTATTGCTTTATTCAATGCTTATATTTGGTTTAGTATATTTCTACTGGGCTGTGGCTCACCCTATATGGGAACATCATTTTCAGGTTCAGGTGATAAGCTACCTCCAAGGACTTAGCTTGGAAGGGACTTGGATTTTGAAGACTATTTTCAGTTGTTTGTTTTTATTTGTTAGTACATGTAAACACTCAAGCCTAGGGCTTTATTTGGATTTGAGTTAGAACTCATACTTTTGTTGTCCAAGTGTTGGCTTGGAAAGATGTAAGCCTGTAGGGCATTTAATTTGAGGTTACATGTAATGTTTTTATTTAGTAAGACTCTGATGAATATTATAATGAAATGTTTCCTTTCTAACATTGCATGCTGATGATATATATAATTAATGGGTTTATTTTTGAAGGTTTTTGGAGACCCATCAAATTTTGAAAGCCAGAAATCGAAATGTGAAAGTAGTAGAAATTTTGAGAATTTTTTAATAATGGTATACAAATATTTTTAATGAAATTCTAAGAGGAATAAGTTGTTTTTTCATAAGTACTAGTAATACAACATCCATTCTTCCTCAACTTGGAATTATTTATATTTTTCTTTAGTATTCTATTTTTAGTATGTGAATCCTCTTGTTATTTAGTCTTCGTTTGGCATTGACTTTTTTAGCTGACTTTTTTGTGTTGAGTTGGTTTGGTTTTTTTTTGGCTTTTTTGACTTTTGTGAGCGAAAAAGTGTAATGATTATGGTTTAGATATAACATTTTGTCTTATTGGCTTATGTAGCCAATTTTTTCTTTTTGTGCTTTTTTAGCCAGAAATCTAAAACCAAACAAAGCTTTGTTTCTTTTCTTTATTCTATTTGTCTACTATTATTGCCTTATTTGTTTCCTTTTTTAAATTTAAACCTTGAACTAGTGTTGAGTAGAGAGGTCTCAACTGATTGGTTGGGCAAGATGGCTGGGTAACCCTTTCCCATCTTGTATCTTAGCCCTAAACTAGATTATCTGTTGACGATGGGACTAGGTATTGCGTCGAGTCATTTTGTGGGTATGGTTTCTTAGTTCTTCCAATGAAGTGGAACTTTTCATGTCAAACAATCCTAATATGTATTATCTTATGTGACCTTGTGGGATATCAGTTTAGGCATTTGGATTCCCAATGGGTTTTGGAATAAAAGAAAATTCATTGGCATGTGGCTTAGGATAATTTTGGTCATGTAAAGCATATTAGTGGTTGAGTGGGATTCCTTAGGCTCAAGAGGTTTGGTGTGTGTGACCCTATATACCGAAAAATTTGGCTTGCTTATATTAACAAATGGTCTAGGGTAATTAATTACTAATTTTAATGACAACCGAGTTTAAGAACGTGGGCACAAGAATTTGTTATTCTAGTCTTGATTTTCACTTTCTTTGGTTGTTTGTCAGTTCATCTTCATTTATTTATATATTCACATAATTACTTTGGCTAAGAAGATTTATTCTATTCTCAGGGCATGCAAGTATAGGGTGGTTATTGCCAGGCAACAAGGAGGGGGTAATTTGCTGAGTAACAAAGATTGATGAAGATCTGTTGTGAGCTCTCACTATGAAGAATTGGTCAAATACTAAATGTGTTTCCAAGGAGTTGAATAGTTTTTCTTTATAGACATCAGTGGAGAAAAAAGGAAGTGTAACATTGATTGGAGAACAACTTACACCATTAGTACCGATTATATATGTGTACATTTATAATCTTGAGTACTGTTTATCTTATTCAGCTAAAACATATATGTTAAACAGTGACCAAAGATCAAGTTCTTAAAATGAAATATGTTGATCTACTAGGTCTTGTTGGATCAACATATTTATTTGAAAGTGACTCAGATAGGTGTAGATTCTTAGATTGGTACGACTTTAAACTAATTATTGAATTGGTAAGACTTTAAAATACAAGGGAGAAAAGTAAAGCCCAATTTTGCAGAATGTAGACTTCAAACTTTATAAGCATTCTTTTTTGCATCCTCAACAACTGCAGCATTGGAATGTTTGGAAGCTTTAAGCTGGTGCAATCTTAGTGGGTTAAAGGTGGTCACGATATGGACGGACAGTCAAGAGTTGATTCGGCAGCTTAAGGAAGGTAGTGTGATGGATTGGGATATATCATACATATTAAGGGATATTAAGGTTTTATGTAATTAGGGTAAATTACACTTTACATCCATGCACTGCACTGCACTCAGTAGCATGGCCAGAAATTTTGTTCAACGGGGTCAATTATTAGATTTCACATAGCTTATAAATATGACGCACGAACATCCCTCT